TTCGTATGGCGGCGGTAGATAGTAATCTGGATCTTCAAACATATATCTTCCAAAGCCGCTGTCGGGTGTTTGGGCAGAGGGGCTTGATCTTAATGACGATGGCGTGAACGATGGAGTGCTTGGGATATATATGGATGGTGGTATTGAAACATAACCGGTATCAACAACAAGCATCTCGTGCATGTCGGTCCGTGCCTCCTTGTCTTTGTAGATATCGTTGTAAGCTTTTTTCCATCTCCTGCAAAGGAACCACAATATAAATGTTAGGATAATTCCGCCAACAATCCCACACACCACACCGACAATAGCAACATTCTTTGGTGACATATTTTGGTCGTCGCTTAAGGCAATCCCTAAATCCGACGATACCTCGTTCGTTGAAGAAAAGGCAACACTATTGGTTTTGTATGTTGCTTTAATGCTGGTATAGTCAATTGCGCTAGATGTCGAGGAGCTCAGGGACGGGGTAACATACTCTGGCGTGCTGGAGTTACTTTCAACTGGCAATGAACCCGTTTGATTGGCATAGAAATCTCCGTCTTTGAAGATCATAATTGACTGCAGATAATCTGGGCGTTTCATGCTGTATTCCGGATCAGACTGAGGTGAAATATCATTGCTGTTTGGATAGTAACTGATCGAGCGGCCAAGAACTCTGCTTGCAAATGCAATATAGTCGGCAAATAGCACATAGAAGCTATCCTGGAAGTCACGCAGGGTGCATTCATAATTAGATACTGATACGGCCGTGTACGCATAGATGCCCGCAACATATAGCTTTCCTGAAATGTAAACATCGACTGACCCGTATGGAATGGCACAGCCAGTCAAGTAGGCATACGGCGGATATGTTGTTGCGTTAGAACATAATAGGTCGTTCTGATTTGATTCGAAAACACGCGTATCGGCTTTGCACTCGGCTAAATCGCTATATCCGTTGGTCATAGTCAATGGTGTCTCCCATTTTATAGGATTCATGTCCAACAATCCCCGCCTAATAAATAAGATGTCGCCCCAACTGTCGTTACGGTTGATGGCAATCTGGTTTGACCAAGTTTCAATGCTATTGCTGTTGAATTGTAGAATGGCTATTGGGTTGAGATTTATTGTGGCATTATATTCCGGGTGCACAGTTATTGAGCTGACAGTGTATTTTGCAGTGTTACCGTCGACACCAGTATCCAGGTAAACCTCATACTTTGTGTTCTTGTTGATTTTACTTCCAGCAAAATCAAGGCACGGAGCGGCAACAAATGCAGCAGTACTGTCGATGACTCCAAGCTCACAAGAGGTTTGTTTTCCGTTTTTAATCAGCACTCCGCCTTTTGTAGTTGATATATTGGAAATAGTGCGGCTGATTGCCAAGGCGTGCGTGTTTAGCGCCAAGAGTGCAGCGACAATAGGAAGTGCGATATAAGAACGAGAAAGAAAAATCATTATTAATAAACGAATAAACTGGGAATATATGTGGAATAAAAACAGAATGTAAAACTTGGCCGGTGCACTTGATATATATATAAATTTAGCAGAATGCCCATTTTCAAAAGGGTACGGTTTTTCAAGCAATTTGGATATTGACGTCTTCATCAATTCCTTTATAATGATCTCTTTATTGGTCTTTAAGGGCACTTTACTTAACGGCCCCTTGTCGATCATCGTTTCTAGTTTCTTTGGGATTGCTTTATATTCAGATACGCTACCGTGTACATAGTAACCTTTGCTAAAGGCAACCTGGATATCGTTCCTTGCTAATGATGACCATTATACATAAAAGATATGTCCATTTTGTGAAATATAGCTTCCCGCTTGTTGTAGTGAATCGCTTGTTACAAAGTAAATCATGCGATCGGACTTGAAGTGACAGGTGTCCGTTCTACACCTCAATGAGATTACAATTAATCGGGTAACATATCGGTGCATTCATTCATTATTACAGATAGGTTGTTAAATTGGAATAGTTATAAGCTAATAGTATCTGTAACTCTGGTAAATCGTGGACGACGATGATGAAACGGACGACTGTGGTGATGTTGGAGAAGATGCCGAAAACGACGAGATGGTAGATTGTGATGATACCGACGAAAACGACGAAAGGGTAGGTTGTAATGATACCGATGAGGATGACGATGGCGTGCTAGGCTCGCGCAATGGTGAAATATAATACTCCAAAGCCTCAAATGTGTCTTTGTCAAAGCCGTCAGTGTGCAATTGTGCTAATGGCGCGGACCTTAATGCAACAGGCACCATAGAATTCGACTTGAAAAAAGGTTTGGAGAGAGTGTATATGGGAGGCGGAACATTTATATCAGAGCCATGAGTTGAATAGTAGCCTGATAGTGTCTTCCAGTAGTTCGAGGAATTCATACGAGCCCTCTTCCATCTCTTAAAAATAAACAACGATAGGGATATCAGAATAACACAGCCAAGGACACTACAAACGACACTGATGGCTACGGCTTTCCGTTGAGATTTACCATCGCTGTTGCTTAGGCCGCCATTGTTATCCTTGGGCAAATCCGAAGACGCCTCAGAGGCAGAGGTATACACAAAGCCATTGCCAGCATCATTTTCCGAGACTTCTCCATTATCCGATATAATATCATCGACAGAGCCTGTGTCAGCGACAGTGTTCGCGTAGGAACTACCAGCTAAATCAGATACGCCGGTATTACTTTTAAACTCTGCTGCTGAATCTGAAAAGTTGTTGTCTTTAACGGCGCCCTCTGTTGCACTTGAGCTGCTCACAGTAATTGGCGGATCCTGTTGGTCGCCGTAGAAATCTCCATATTCAATTACCCATGGAGAAAAATTCACAGGGGGTTTCATGCTATACCCCGGGTTCGGCTGTGGTGAAATCCCATCGCTGTTTGGATAGTAACTTATTGGGCGGCCGAGAACTTTACTGGCAAATGCAATATAATCTGCAAATAGCAGGTACATGCTGGCTTGAAAGTATTCCAGCGTGCATTTATAATTAGTGCCCTGGATCGACGTATACACGTAGATACCAGCCACATATAATTTGCCCGAAATATATGCATCTACTGACCCGTACGGTATAGCACAGCCTGAAAGATACGAAAGTGGTGCGTGTGTTGTCGCGTTGGAGCAGAAAAGATCGTTTTGGTTAGCTCTGAAAACATATGTGACATCATCGCACTCTCCGGCGTTGCTATAACCATTTGTTACAGTCAACGGTGTTTCCCATGCCATAGATTCCATATCCAATAATCCCCGTCTGATAAATAAGATGTCACCCCAGTTCTCACCTCTATTGATGGCAATCTGGTTTGACCAAGTTTCGGCGCTGTTCGTGTTGAATTGTAGGATGGCTATCGGGTTGAGACTAGTTGTGCTATTATATTCAGGGTGGACGGTTATCGAGCTGACAGTGTATTTGGCGGCAGTGTTGTCTATTCCTGTGTCCAAATAAACCTCATAGATTGTGGTCTGATTAACGCTGCTTCCAGAAAAGTCAAGGCATTTAGCTGCAACGAATGCGGCCATACTATCGATGACACCAAGCTCACATGAAGTCTGCTCTCCATTTTTAACTAGTACTCCGCCCTTTGTCGTCGCTATGTCAGACGCCGTATCGCGTACGGCTAGGGCGCCTATATTTAGCGCCAGTAAAGTCGCAGCAGCCAGTACCGAAGTGTACAAATGCAATAATAATATCATTAGGAGAAATAAAAGAGGATATACTTTTAAAAATGAATAATATAGCCAAGAAATAAAAACTGTGCACACTGTGGTTGAAGCATATCCATGAATCGATACTTCCAATCTCTAGGCTTGCAATCACATTATGTCATGATAGCTTGCTGCCTCTTTCAATAATATCCTTATTGGACTTTAAGTAGGAAGTTTCGAAAAAGCCCATTCTAGTCATTAATTCCGGGCTTCATTGTATGTGCTCTTATAAGTGTGTATGCAGCTTTGTACACTGTGATTTTTTATTTATTACAAAACAACTTGCATATTCCAGCTCCGAGAAAATAACCCTTTGTATAAGGAGGGGAGGGTCGTATCCAGTTCGTCCAATATCTGCAAAGAAGGCGCTTCAGATCGATCGTTCCTAATACATCTATTAAATTAGCACCGCAAGGGATTGTGCCGGCCTAACTTTCCAGGTATCATCAAGACGTGTGTTTAAGGAGGCACTAGGTGGCGTGAACGTAGTTGTTGAATAAGCCATGCATATCACAGATTTCACAAACTTGATCAAAATATGAGCTGTAACGCAGATTAGCTAACCCATCTCCCATGACACAGGCTGATATTTTATAAACCTGTAACTTATATGCCAGCCAAACGGTTAAGGTAACGATGATGTTAGGTGATCAACAAAAAGTCCTTAATCAGTATTCCTATCGGGACCTAGCTTAATAATAGTTTGCAATCCAAGCTATACCTATTTTAGATCTTGATCAATATCGATTCATTTCATTTAACCGAGCCGAGTTTGAAAATATCATCGTTTGATAGCAAAATCTTTTTTATTTCAACACCAAAATAGCACAACTTTTAAATTGGAGCATAGAAAACCCTCCCACAAACTTGCTTATTTACAGTGGCCGCTATAAAGACAGACTTTCTTTTGCGATACGAACGAAAAATGTAATAATATATTTTCCATAGAGCTTTTATTTAAACAGGATAATTACCAAATTTCTAAATTGCTCTGTCCTGCGATAAAACAAATATAGGGTATTGAATAAACATCATGTAGTGATAAAGAAAGCAATACACTTGGATATTCCCAACAAGACCAAACAAAATAAAAAAGCTTTGCCATGGAAATCTAGGAGGTGTCCCTAAAGATATAAGACCGCAATTCCGTTTAGGCAGATGAGAGGAAAGGAGGAACGGCGGAGGGGCTGTCGGTGGTGTCAAAATCAAATTAATTTTTGGTATGGTTTTCAAAAGTGCGCAGAAAGAGACTACATTTTTAAGCCGCCTCCCAATATAAGCGGAAAATTGATCAATTGGGTCCGTTTGGGGCTTTAGCTCAGTGGGAGAGCGTGCGACTGAAGATCGTACGGTCCCGTGTTCGATCCACGGAAGCCCCATTTTTGCTCTTTTATCAATTGCAGTGGAACATGTTGTTTCTAAAACATACATAATGGAATGTATTTATAATTTCTTTATTACAACAGCGGACTTTTGGAAGAGGACAGTAAAACACTTGACAGATGGCGATGGTTATTTTCTTTTTTCTTTAGGTTTTGGCTGGGCGGGGGATCGGGGATATGTGGTGGTGGTCTACCCCAGGCAAAGCCAGAGACAGACGGTCTAGACCCAGGAATCTCAGCGGGTAACGGACAGCAGCATCGATGGCAGCAGAGCCAGCGGAATCAGCAACGAGGATGCGATCAAAGAGAGAGCGGAGAAGCGCAGAAAGCGAGAGCTCAGCGGCCAGAGGGAAATCGTGTACGAGGGCGGAAGGCAGGGCAACGAAACCGGGGGCGATCCAGCCAGCCCAGGCATTAGACGCAGAGCACCGGATGCCCAGCGAATGGGGCGCCCCATTGAGCTCGACGAAGCGAAGGCAGTGAAGGGCGGGACCAAGGGGATCCGGATGGCGGCCCCACGCAAACACAAAGAGGTTGCCGATCCGCGTTGCCGACGGGCGCAGATCGGCTGGCGGCATGTTGTCGATGGTGGCTGTTACGCGGATATGGTCGTAGGAAGTCGAGGAAACAGCGCCGTCGGCGGGCATCATGGCCGAGAACTCGGGGGCATGGGCTGCGCATAGCGCGCGGCGCCACCCGGCGCAGTACTGCGGCTGCTTCTCAGAATGCAGCAGGTGTTGCGCTTGAGGCGGCGGCGGAGACGGTGTGCCGGCGAGGAGAAGACAAGGGAGGTGGTACGCGGTATCGAAGCATGCGACTGGCGCGCAGCAGTGGAAAGATGCGCCAGGGCGGCCGCATAGCGTGCATGAGAGACCCATGGCGTCTTCTTTGCTGTCGAGGAGGAGTGCGCCTTGGAAGTGGACAAGCGGTAAAGAGAGCTGCTGTGGCATAGCCAGCGGAGCTTCGCCAAAGATGCGTGTGGGCGACGGGGACAGCGGCGCTGATGCAAGCATTGGCGGCGATCGCGACGCTGCAGCGACTGGCGTGGAAGCGGCAGTTACAACCGGGCGCGGCCCCCACGACCACGCAAGGCACTCGACATGCGCCCAGCGCGTGGCGGCTGCCGGTTGTTCTGCGGTAGCCAGAGGCACAAGTCTGCCGAGCGACTGGCGCTGCGCTTGGTTCTTTGGTGTTGGCAGGCCATCGCCGCGAAGACCACAGAGCGCGCAGCGTCGCCAGTCCACCAGACCAGCCGAAGATCCCGTGAGGCGCTTGGGATGGGCCACGCAGTAGCGCGCTTCCAGGGCCTCGACGTCAAAACGATCACGGTCGAATCGGATGTCCGAGCGCGTCAGACTAAGCAGCAGATTGGCAGCCTCAGCGGTGTCGGCTTCTGGTTTGATCTTGGACACTATTGGCTTGGGATCGGGGGCGGCTGGCGAAGCAAGAGTCGCCTGGGACGCAAGCAGCGTGGCTATAGCGGCATCAGTGTCAACCTCGATCTCCGACTCTGACGCAGGAGCGATATACTGGCCAACGAGGGGGCGCAGACACCGGGGCAGCGCAGGAATGGCAGCAACGGCGGCATCGTCCAGATCGTCGTCGTCGAGCTCCGACGCGCTGCTGGCGTCTATGTCAGGCAGCAGCGCGCCGTCGAAGCGCGAACACATGGGGCACACGTATGGCGCGTCCTCCAGCGTGATCAGCGCATCGTACACGTCGGGCGTCAGGCGGATGTCGCACTCTGTGTGGACCCAGAAGCTGCAGATGTCGCAGCACACCATGCTTGCGCCGACGCTGCGGCTGCCGTATGTGGCGATGCACTCGGGGCACACTCGCGCCCGGCCGATCTGCCGCGCGCAGCCGCCGCACACGCAGTAGTCGTGGGCCCACTCGACGCTGGCTGCATCGTCTGCAGACATCGAGAGCCCGCACTCCAGACACTCGACGCAGTCGTCGCACACCCACTGGCCGTCGCCGTCGGCTGCCACCGATCGCTGCCTGCTGCATTGCGTGTGCATGTGCTGCCCGCACGCCCTGCATTGCACGAGCACATCGCCTGGCATGTCGCCTAGACACCGCGCGCACACGCGGCATGCCGCGCAGACAAAGCGATCGCCGGCGGAGCTGCCTTGCGCGCAGAACCAGTGGTATGTGTCTCCACATCCGCCACACCGCTGCATCGCGCCCGTCGTCCCACACTGCACGCACGAACGCACAGGCACTCCGCTCTCCAGGGGAACCTCGACCATGGCGCTGGCTGCTTCCTCGGCCAAGCACACGCCTTTGGGCCGTTGCCTTTGCTGTCTTTGCCGTCGCCGCTGCCGCTCCCACGCATCCAATGCACTGGCGATGTTGCGCTTCAGCCGTTGTTTGCGCTGGTACCGCAGTGTCCTCAGATCCGCGTTGATGCGCTTGAGCATCTGTGCTCTGTCTTGGAAGTACGCCAGCACCCCTTGCGTTTGCGTGTCCAGTCTGACAGCGTCGTCGTCGCTGCTTGTGTCGTCGCTGTCTACCTCGCGTGGCCGTTGTCTACTGCCATTGTGCTTCTGATCTGCATTGCCATATGCATTGTCAGATGGGATCCGCGAGAGCTTCGAGTGGCGCGACATGTCTGGGATGCTCTTGCGTTTGCGGCTATGCATCTCCTTGCGCGACGCAGAAAGCTGTTGTTCGGCTATTACCAGCGTGGAAAGCGACGCTGCGCTGATTGCGTCGGCTGCCATCGCCGCCGCACGACGCTGTTTGACGCATCCGAGCGCCAAGTCGCTTTCCACGCGCTTGGCCAACCCATCGACGGCACCCGATAGCTCTGCCAGCTCACCTTTCTCTGGTAATTCGTGGTCATTGTCAGAGCCGCTATCGCCCTCGTTCTCCTCGTGTGCCTTTGCTGGAGCATCTTTCAGATGATCTACCGGATCAGACATGTGTTTCTTTGTTGCAATGCGTGTGCGGCTGACGCGTGCACATAGCTCTTGCCGTAAGGCATCAAGCGACACTTCAATGATATCAGACAAGGCCGATCCATTTGCACTAGCAGCAGAGCTGTCATCAAGGGAGTCCAGACGTTCGGCAAGCTCCCTATTCGGATCGTCCTTGGGAACAAGCACGCGACAAGCAGTCCACCCATTGACAGCAACACGGCTCTCGCCCGACGCCCCCGTCGATGTCGCATTCTTTGCGGTTTTTGCGCGGTGAGCCTTACTCCGTGCTCCCAAGGCAGCAGCTTCGCCTTGCTCCGTCATATCTGCGTTAGCATTGCTGCGTGCCGTTTTGTGATGCAGGGCCTTTGCCTGGGCTCTCATGACCCGACACACAGCGGTCGCCTAAGCCGAGGGCGTTTCAAAGGTCGGGCGCATGAATTCGGTGCCATAGGGCGACACAAAGTCCGACGGCAACGGCGTCCATTGCCCCTCAAACGTACCTTTCGCCGTCACTGTTGCACGGAACGGCCAGTTGTTGCAAACCACCGTGTTGCCTGGAATCAGCAACCCTTCGTCTACCAAATGGCCTATCGACACTTTACCATTTGACGGCAAGGATAATACTCGGTATGCAAGTGGCCCAGCAGGAGCAACAGCAACAGAGGCAGAGTTTGTTGCTGATTGGCGGTGTCGTGGTGCTGTTCCTTTGCTTGTACTGTTCGTGTTGTCCTTTGGCGCTTGTCGATCAGCTGCCATTTGTGTTTATTAATATTTTGGAAAATGCAAGTGGTGTGTGTGGAAAGGAAAAAAAAAGAACAGCAGGGATCCTCTTTTTTTTAAATGCTAGAGGTGAAAAAGGTAAGACTGCGAATAATGAAAAGAAAGCGAAATGTTTGTTAACTGCTCCAAAAGACCAAAGCGTGCATTTGTTTCAGCAGAATGCAAGTAAAGAAAAGGAATGTTTATACAAAAGAATGTATGCTACTTTATTCTTGCAATCCACTCTTTCTTCGGGTCTGGCTTTTCTTTTTTTCGCTTGTGCGTGTGTTGTTTCGCTTGGGAGGGAGGGAAATGAAAATGCAACAAGAAATGCACGAAAATACGAAGAAAAAAAAAAACCTGAATTCACGTTCAAGAATGCTTCTCTCCTGGATTCTGAACCCTTCCTCCCTCTTCAAGCTTTTCTTTCCCTTTGAGAAAAAATATAAACAAAAACGAACGGCAAGCTTGGAAGAAAGATGCGGCGGCTGCAATGATGGCACTCCGTTGCAAAAACATCGTCCTCCCACTTCTCCTCGTCTTTCCTTCTTCCCGCATCAAACAAGGGGGAGAAGGAAAGAAGTGTTCCCGCATATCGCGCAGCCATTAAACGGTTGGGAACAAAAATAAAAATACTTGGGAACAACAGGAAATCAAGACCTCAAGGTGGGTGGGGTGTTCCAGAATGAAAAAGCTCGCCCCGTGACGAAATCCCCACCCAGCAGGAGGAATAAAAAGCCCAACAATGAAATGCCAGAAAACAAAAAGTTTCGTCTTTTATCTTATCAACAAACATTTATTTTTCCTTTCTCCTTTTTTAGCCATGGATTATTCTGGTTCTCAAGGCTATTACGACGACTACGACGAGCAGCGGACTCGCGGCAACGGGTCTCATGGCCCACCGCAACAACAAGGCTACACGCCACGTCCTCAAGGATCTCCCGGTGGCGGGCACCAAGGCGGTCCTCCAGCTGGCTATCCGGGTTCTGGCGGATACGGCATGCCACAAGGCGGCTATAGTGGCTCTTCGGGCGGCTATGGTAGTCCTTCGGGCGGCTATGGCGGCCCTCCTCCTCCTTCTGGTCCAGGCGGCTACAGCCACTCTCAGCAGCAGGGAGGCGGCTACGGCCAGCAGCAGGGAGGCGGCTACGGCCAGCAGCAGCATCATGGCGGCAACAGCGGTGGCCATACGCCTCAGCAGTCCTCGGGATACGGTGGCCCATCCCCCAGTAGCGGCAGCGGACCCAGCCCAAGTATCTACCATGGCAGTAGCGGTGGCGGAGGCGGCAGTTATAATGAAGGGGCATCGGGGCG